AGCTTAAATTCTGTGACATTCATACTATAATGTATTGCGACAATCAAGCTGCTCTCCACATTAAATCTAATCCAGTGTTTCACGAGAGACTAAACATATAGAAATTGATTGTCATTTTGTTCGTGAAAAGTTATTGATTAAAAAAATATGTACTGAATTTATTGGGTCAAACTATCAACTCACAGATGTATTAACTAAGTCATTAAGGAGTCCTCAAATTGAGTTTATTTGTTCCAAGCTTGATACATACAATTTGTATTATCTAGCTTATTTATCCTATTTTATCATCATTATATTGTGTCAAGAGTTACTATATTTATCATGATTGTATNTCTAGAATTATTTTATAGTTTAATTCTCAAGTTGGTATCAAAGCGGGTCGATTCCGCTCTAGTTTCTGTCTTCACTGGTACGATTCGTCTTCTTCAGAGATGGCATCTACAGTACTATTTCCTTCTCCGAAAGTCCATCAATTACCTCTGAGAAGCTACATGGAAAAAATTATCTATCATGGTCTGTTGCTGTTGAAATGTGGTTCCTTGGCCAAGGGCATTATGACCACCTTGAGCGAGATGGAGGCCATGTGCCAACAAAAAAAGTTGATCAGTGGAAACAAGAAGATTTATAATTGGGTGCCCTGTTATGGCAATCAGTGGAACTCAAACTTCTTATATCTCTAAGGGCTTTCAAAACTTATCCCTCCTTTTGGAAGAAATCTCAAAGCATTTATGCCAATGATATTCAACGTCTCTATGACACTGCAAACAAGCTCGCATCTCTTAAAATGGCAGATTGTGATATGGTGTCTTCATGATTGAAGCCCAATCTATTGTCGAAGAACTCATGATGTTTTTGGAAGCGGACCCATTAGAAGATATCAAAATGAAACTAGACAAATTTTACATGGTATTGATCCTTCGTGCCCTACATCCCGATTTTGATCATCTCAGAGATCAACTTCTGACAAGTCATGAGGTCACTTCCATGGAAACATTGACCACTCGTCTTCTGCGTGTCCCGGTACCTCAAACTCAGGAAGCACATGAACTAATGGAACCATCTGTCATGATTTCCACACGAGGAAGAGGAGGACATGACACTAGAAGAGGAGGACGAGGAGGTCGGAGACGTCCCCAATGCACATATTATAAAAGGATGGGTCACACTCAAGAGAATCACTACTCTTTACATGGTTTCCCTTCCAAAACTGCCAATATTTCGAAGACTGAAACTTCTACTTCTAAGTTCTTCGAGGATGAATATCAACAGTATTTAAGGTTAAAGTCTAACAGTTTGGAACAACCATCTCAATCTCCCAGTACATTAACAGCCGGCGTTTCTCAATCCATGGAAGGTCAAATTTCATGGGTAATTAACTCAGGTGCTTCTGATCACATTTCTGGTAATACATCTTTGTTCTCATCTATTTCCTTTCGAGAAAAACCTCATTTCATAACCCTTGCAAATGGATCTAAAACTTCCTCCAAAGGAGTCGGTCATGTTTCCTTGTCTCCCTCCCTCAATCTCAACTCTATTCTTTTTGTCCCTAATTGTCCTTTTAATTTAATTTCCCTAAGCCAGTTGACCAAAATGTTAAATTTTTTAATAACCTTTGATCACAAATATTTTGTTATATTGGGGCGTGGTAAAAGGGAGACAGATTGGAGAAGGATATGAAGCTGACGAATTATACCATTTTGGATCTCGTCTAAGGGTGTCCTGTGTTGCTGCTCCTAATCCTAAACTGCTACATGATCAACTTGGCCATCCTCATTTGTCCTAATTAAAAAAGATGTGTCCTGAACTTAGTGGTCTAAAATGTGAGTCATGTCAATTAGGAAAACATGTTAGATCTTCCTTTCCTAAAAGGTCTCAATCAATATATAATTCTAGTTTTTCCATCATCCATTCTGATATATGGGGAACTAGTTGTATCTCCTCCTCTGGTTTTAGATATTGTTACCATCATTGATGGTGTTTACTTTATGAAAAATCATTCTGATTGTTAGTCATCTTTACATCCTTTTTGAAAGAAATCAAGAATCAATTTGGTCAAGTAATAAAAATATTAAGAAGTGATAATGCAAAAGAGTATTTCTCATCCTCCTTTTCTGCCATCTTGAGTTCCCATGGTATCTTACATCAGTCTACTTGTCCTCATACACCAAAACAAAATGGTATAGCAGAACGAAAAAATAGACACTTGGTTGAAACTGACAGTACCCTTTTGCTTGGTGTCCATATTCTTGTCCATCACTTGAGGGATGTCATCTTAACTGCATGTTATCTTATTAATAGGATGCCCTCCTCCTCTCTTGATAATAAAATCCCTTTCTCCATTCTATTTCCTAATGATCCTCTCTTTCATACATCTCTTTGAGTGTTTGATTGTGTATGTTTTGTTCATGACATGTCTCCAAGTCTAGACAAACTCTCTGCCCGTGCTCTCAAATGTTTCTTCTTAGGCTATTCTCGACTTCAAAAAGGATATCAGTGTTACTCTCCTGAAACTAAGAAGTATTACATGTCTACCAATGTCACATTTTTTTAACACACTCCTTATTTCTCTCCATCTGTTTAGGATGTTTCTATCCTCTAACAGGTCCTTCTTATTCTAGTGGCTGAGTCAAATAATTCCATTGTCTCTATTATTCTAAGTCTTGACCACAATCCTCCTGAACTCGTTTCTCCACATATTGAGATCATGTCACACAGGGCCCCAATGGATAATCCACCTCCCCAAGACAATAGTGAATCTCCTATTTCAAATTCTTCTCCCTCGTCCCCTCCTCCCACGCCTCCTGGTGCAAATGATTTAGCATGGCCTATTGCTCTCATAAAAGGTACTCGTTCCACTCGAAACCCTCATCCCATTAATAATTTTTTTAATTATCATCGATTGTTGCCCTCTTATGTTTCTCTTTTATCCTCAGTGTCTTCTGTTGTTATACCCAAGAATGTGAAAGAAGCACTTGATCATCCTAGATGGTGACAAGCTATGATTGCAGAAATGAAGGCTCTTGACCACAGTAATACTATTGGGAGCTGGTGCCCCTTCCCCCGGGCAAAAAGGCGATTGGTTGTCGATGGGTGTATGCAGTTAAAGTCGACCCTGATGGTGATATTGATCGGCTCAAAGCCCGACTTGTTGTAAAAGGTTACATTCGGGTTTATGGTCTTGATTATTGTGACACTTTCTCTCCTATAGGCAAGATGACTACTATTCGTCTCTTCTTTGTCATGGTAGTCATTCGTCACTAGCCACTTCATCAATTGGATATCAAGAATGCCTTCCTACATGGTAATCTTGAGGAAGAAGTATAGATGGAGCAACCTCCTGGGTTTGTTGCTCAGGGGGAGTCTGGTATGGTATGCAAACTTCATCAATCTTTATATGGCCTCAAGTAATCACTACGTGCTTGGTTTGGAAAGTTTAGCTCCATTGTTAAAAAATTTGGGCTAAAACGCAATGAAGTAGGTCATTCAGTTTTTTATTGTCATTCTTCTATTGGGAAATGTGTTTACTTAATAGTATATGTTGATGATATTGTCATTACAGGAAATGATGTTGTTGGAATATCTCAACTAAAAGAGTACTTGTGTAGACATTTTCAAACCAAGGATCTTGGAAGTCTCAAATACTTCTTAGGCATTGAAGTAACGCAATCAAAAGATGGAGTTGTAATCTTCCAAAGGAAATATGCTCTTGATATATTACAAGAAACAAACATGATTGATTGCAGACCGGTAGATAGCCCCATGGACTCAAACCAGAAATTAAAGATAGAAGAAGGTAAATTATTCTTCGATCCAAAGAAGTATAGAAGGTTGGTTGGAAAACTGATTTATCTCATTACAAGGTCAGATCTATCCTTTGCAGTTGGAGTGGTTAGTCAGTTCATGCAGACTCCGTGTGTTGACCATTGGAATGCTCTCATTTGCATTCTAAGGTCTGTCAAAAAGGCTCCCGAGCAAGATTGTTATGAGGATAATGGAAGCATTCAAGTCTCTAGGTATTGTGATGCATATTTGGTAGGTTCGCCTATATAGACAGTCTACTATAGGATAGTGTTTTTTTTAGGAGGAAACATTATTTCATGGAAAGTAAGAAACAAAATGTAGTAGCTCGATCAACCGCTGAAGCTGAGTATAAGGCAATGGCATCACAAACATGTGAATTTATATGAGTGAAACAATTCCTTCAAGAGCTTAAATTCTGTGACATTCATACTATAATGTATTGCGACAATCAAGCTGCTCTCCACATTAAATCTAATCCAGTGTTTCACGAGAGACTAAACATATAGAAATTGATTGTCATTTTGTTCGTGAAAAGTTATTGATTAAAAAAATATGTACTGAATTTATTGGGTCAAACTATCAACTCACAGATGTATTAACTAAGTCATTAAGGAGTCCTCAAATTGAGTTTATTTGTTCCAAGCTTGATACATACAATTTGTATTATCTAGCTTATTTATCCTATTTTATCATCATTATATTGTGTCAAGAGTTACTATATTTATCATGATTGTATTGTGTCAACGATTACTTTATTTATCAGTTTAATAATAAGTAATCCAAAATACATGCTTCATGAGATGTTCCACAATGTTTAATCCAAAACAAGTTTCCGTATCTATTAATACTAGATTATGTAACCCGTAACCTATTTAAAACACTCAAACCCTCAAACGTCACACACCCCATCCCACTGGAAGGTGAAGAAAGGAGGTTTGGAGGTAAGGTGACATAATTAACTTCTCATATTTTATTATAAATGTATAAGGATAGAATATATAATTTTAGGAGGTTGCAGCAAGGAGAAAAAATGGACATAAGTAGAAAAGGCCTACATTATAAAGTGTGGACCCTACCTAATTTTTAAAATCTTTCTACTCCTTTCCTACCAAAACTCCCATTCTATTCATTTTCAATATCTGTCTCCTCTTTTCCCATCCAACTAAACTAATGTTAACAAACTCGAGAACTCGGAATAATTCAGAAGGCCAAATAAAAGATAACATTTTATCATAAAACTCATGATGTTCAAAACCATAGAAATCACCAAACACTAGTACCACTGTTACAACAACAAAAGTACAACCCTGTATCCGAGATCATTCCAAAAACCATAGAAGCACAGCGGTATTGTAGCACCATTTTATGATACTTTTGCCCTTGAGAAGTCCATCTCTGGATGCTGCCAACACATGACAGTTGAATGTCAGATCTCTCATATCAATGAAGAGCATGTGATGAGAAGAAAAATAAGAAAATCAGGAGTTCACCTCGCTCATAAATTTCTTTAAGATTTCCTGTTTCTGGAGCTCATCACTAGTAGGGAGGCCCATAGACTTCTGTCTCTGATCAAACTGTATAATAAAAGAGAACTAAGCCAACTAAAAAAATGTACTCTAAAATCCAAAACAGTGTCATTAAATGTATGTAATAAATCCGTTACCATCATTTTTTCTACAGTCTGTCGAGTTTCAGGATCGAGGTCAGCAAGTTTGCTGTTCTCGGGCTCCACTTTTTGGGTATCAATTTCAGGATCACCCTTTACAACACATTTCCACCACTCCATTTGATTATGCTTGGTCAAAAGAATAGAAATTGTATTCTGATCCTCTGCAAAATAGATTTGTACATCAGTTCCACATGAAGAGGTCATCATTAATAAACAAAAATAAATACTGATTCCAGCAATATTGATTCGTGGACAATGAGTGAAACAGCAAGAGGTCATTCATTCTCACTCAATTAGTTAACAAAAAAATTGAAATCTGATCCCTGCAAATTGGTTCGTAAATAATGAGTGACAGTCTAAGAGTTCGTTAGATCTCACTCCAATAATAAATATCAACCAAATACAACTACTTAAGCTGGAATACTAGAACGTTCATACACTACAATAACCGCCCTCAAAACTATGTCAAGTGAATTCATACATTAAACATACAAATATAAAACTCCAGAAATAATAATTATTATCACTCAAAAAGGATTTTTCCTAGAGACAATGTAGTAATCCTTTACCTATGCTCCAATAACAGTCATCTGGCTTTATGGATTCATATAGTTCACCCTGAAAATATTTAAAAACATAATCCACAAAAACGTTACAAAAACTACACAGAAACGAAAGATAACATAGCTAGGTTGAAACAATAAATAATCTTAATGAATTAACACGTATTCTCTAACAATAAGTTTAACATAAACTTACATCAATTATTGGTGGTTGGCCTTTAAGTCCAACTTTTAGATGATTCTTCTTTATATCGCATATGACAAACCTAGATTTCGTTCCATTAGGCACAGGAACACTCACATTGACCTCCTGCAGAGTTTGAGTCCAGGAGTAACTTTCTAGATCCAGACCATTACCTTTGTTTGGTACTGTTCAGCCGTTGAAAACAATTAATAAAATTAAAATAAAATGTAACTTCAAATAAAGAGTTAATCAAGAATCAATATATATACAAGATATAAAATAATTTTAGTTGTCATGGATGTGCTAAAATAGAACACTAGTACAAATGATTCCTCAATACAACAATAAATAACTTAATCCACTAACCATAACACACATCTTTTCATATTAGTTCAAGGTGCCATAAAAGAAACAAATAAGGGATGCTAACTGGCATTTAGAACCATTCCCTTTACTCATCCAATGTTAGCCAAAATCTGGAGTATACAAGCAAACATGTATGATCTTGCAAGTAGAAGAGACCCATGCAACCTAATGTAGGAGGAGGGTCAGAAAAGTTTGAGATCGCTGTGGGATCATGAGTTTACTCGCAAAATTGATGGATCATTTATCATGTTGATTCGTTGTGTGGAGAGATTCTCATGTACTTGGCTTCTTTGGTCAGGTTTATTGTGACCCATTTTGCCCTTAGGATTCCCAATCGTATATTAGAGAAGATACAAAGCATCATACACGGCACCACTTCACTCAATGATGCACCAAATCAACAACGGACTCGAAGCCATTGTCAGGCATCATTGTCATCAGTCATTACATGAACTAGTCATCATTGATTGTCGTTGCTGCTCTTGCTTTGTGGTCATCAACCATCAACAAGGCTCACTTCATCATCTCCAATGCTCATGTCACTTTTTATTCTTAATATTTTCTTTTGTTTTTGCTGCCACTCAGATTTGGAGTGTTTTGTTCCATTCAGAATTTGAAGAAACAAATGGCATCAGGTGGCAGTAAACCTATTGAAGTTCAAGTGGTGCATCTAGAAGTGAAAGTGGTATTGGATCAAGGACTGGGGCTGCATGAGTGATTGAGTTTCAATTGATGGAAAAGCAAGAAAGGTGAAATGTCAATATTGTGAGGAAGTATTAACACGCAATTTTCATCAATTGAAACTTTATTTAGCAGGAACATCAAAGGATGTTTGAGCAGGTATAATAGTTCCCACAGATGTTAAAAACTAATGTTGGGTGTTGTTTATTAGCTGCAGCAAAGGGGAGTAGTTTGGGTGATTCAGATGATGCTGGAAAAAGTCCAAGGCAAGAAGAGAGTCAAAACTTCATCGAGTATTTTAAGCAAAGGGGAGTGAGCAATCAAAGTACTGTCAATGCCATTTTCGAGAAAAGTGAGGGGGGATGTATGAAAGTAATTACCTTTTTTTTTCAAAACAATGCTATACCATTTAAGCTAGGACGGAATAAAGACTTCAAGTGGATGCTTTACTAGGTTGCTAAACATGTTAAAAGATTTAAGCCACCATCAAACCATAAAATTAGGGTGAAATATTTAATGCTACAAGACCAGTGAGAGTTTAGAAGAACATAGACACTTTTGGAAGTAAGATGGATACGCAACAGTAACTGTCGGATGGGCATATTAGAGGAGGATGACTACCCTTAACTTTCTGGTAAATAGCACTAAGGGGACCTTTTTGGGTAATATATTGATGCTTCTAACATGTAAAACAGCTAATATAATTTTCAACATGATGGATGATGTTGTTGTATTGATTTACTGTTAGAAGTTTTTGAGAAGAAAATACCACTTCAAAAAGAGCCAATAACAACTGGTCAAAAATTCACAACCTACATCCATTCAAGAACTGCTCTAATTTCCTAAGTGCCCAAATTTACTATGAGAAAAAATTTGATAAGACCAATCAATACTTGTTTTGCCAATTCTTATTTGACTTTGGGATGCTTGAATGAAAATAAGGGATTATTTATTAGGTTGTTCGCATTCAAGGAGTGTCAATTTAGTCCATTTATAAAGACTAGACATGGAATGCATGTGGAAAATTTGATATTGGATAATGGATTTTGAATTGCATGAAGGGTGTTTTGCCCCTAATTAAGGTGTTGTGCTTAGTGAATTCAAATGAGCAGCCAGCCATGGGATTTATTTATGAAGAAATGGATAACCTAAAGAGAAGATATAGTCTCTTCAATGGAGTTAGTAAAAGGTAATAATAACTAATTATCTTTCACAAGTTTGATTTTGTAATTTATTTTTTAATTATAGACTTTGTTTGGAGATTAAGTTATTTTTTATCTTTCTTAGCTACACCCTCCTTTGGAAAATCATTGATCAAAGATAAGACGACCAATTGCATAGACCATTGCATGTTGCAAGCTATTATCTTAATCCCATGTTGCACTATAATCCAAAATTTAAAGTTGATGATGAAGTGTGACAAGAAAAGTATGGTTGTTTAGACAGATTGACGGGAAAAATTGATGCGACGTCTAAGATTGATGCTCAGATTGAGGATTTCAAGAGCAAATATAGATCTTTTGGTAGTATAACATCTCAACATGCACTTAAAAGCAAAACAGCAGCTTGATGGTGAGAATTATATGTTGATAAACATCTAGAAATACAAAATGTTAGTTATTCGAGTATTGTGTTTGACTTGTGGTTCATCCGGCTGTGAGTATGATTGAAATGCTTTTGAGAGTTTAAGAATTTGAATTTATGAAATTGATTTGATAATTGTTTGACTATACCACCAAGTAGACTAGTAGGCTAATAATATTATGTGTTAATTAATTTTATAATTATTCAGTACCACAAGGAGAAGGAGATGGTTTACAGCAAAAGAGTGGTTTTGTGATGGCTAATTTAGGATTGAACAAGAAGGATTCAAGAAAAAAAATGCTATGACACTCAATTCTAATGTCAACTCCTCCATTCCTTTTGACTCTGACAACTGAGTTTGAATACTCCTAATTGCACTCCATAAATATATATATGCTCTACCCGTATTCTCTCCCCTTATTATATTGCTTTGAGTTCCCATAAATTATCTCAACCTTTTTATATCCGTCTTTTATCTATTTCTTATGTTTCAATTCCAAAATTTATAAGTGACAAGATGTAGAAAAAAAAAACAGAATATAAAATTATAACCTCAAGAACGTGTAAACTTGACTTAAATAATTACTTAAATAATTGCAATTTAGAGATGTCAGTCAAGTGAACCTTTTGACGTGACAATCGAACCACTCTTTATATTAAGTTTAATCCTGTCTTCATAAAAGATCAAACACATTGTTTGACTGTATTTTATTCAAGAAAAGATTACATCTAAATATATTTAACATATATTTATTAAGTCTTAAAAGGAACTCACTTATTATATTTGTTACAAGATACGTCCAATTTATATACAAGATATCATTAGTTACAAGGCTTAGTACATATTTTTCTGTATTATTTTTCATCATAAATATATTTTTAACTACTTTCACGCTTTCAAGGAAATTACATACAAACTTCTACACATGTATTAAGAGAGCGTGAAAGTTAAAATAAATAACGTTAATCTCTTACCTATTGAAGCGCTCTCTTGGTTCTTCTTTTTCTCCGCTGCCGCCGCCGCCGCCTCCTCTTTGGATGCTTCTACTTCCTTCTTTTTCTTCTCCGCCGCTGCCGCCGCCACCTGCGCAGATTCCACTTCCTTCTTTTTCTTCTCAGCCGTTTCCACTACTGCCTTCACTTTAGCGGCTCGCGCCACAGACACAACCTCTTCCACGGCGGTATCCTTTTGGAAGAAGTCGCTTGTTTGGGCAACGAAATCGAATACTTTGCGCAGAAAATCTTGAGGGTTGGAGGTGTCAAAATTGGCGCTGAACAAATGAGTTTCCGATTTAGACGAGGCAGAGGGTTCAGAGTAACTAGCGTTAATCTGCTCCTCTTCTTGGTAATCGGAGATTATCGCCATGAATGGAAAGAGCGTGAGAAGTGTCCAAGAAAATTAAGAAGTGGCGGGACGGAAGAAAAAGACACATTAGGGCTTCCTTCAACAAAACGGTTTAATTTAAACAAAAGCAATCTAAAATAAATAAAAAATAATAATACTTTTTACACTCACTTTCTTTGTCAACACTTACTTGATAACTATTTTTAATAAAAAAAAATATTATATTAAAGTAATAATAATAAATATAAATATAAATACAATATTATAATAATATAGTATATTATAAAATTGTAGTTTAAATATAAGTGGTATTATTATTCTTCTAACAAATATATGTTTTTTATCATTAGAATTATTAAATATATTATAAATTTATAATTGATCTTTACTTGTTCACTTTTTTTTACTACGAAACTCACCATTATAAAAGTGGTGATATTGAATTGATGTTTCTGAAACAATTTAAAATATTTTGTTTTAGAAGCATAAAATTTAAAATCTTCTAAAACGTTCTAGTTGACAAGATTCTCGAAATTTCCTAAATCTTTTTATTGGAAAGTTTCGTTTGGCTAAATCTGGCACTTCGCCATTGTCGCTAGGTTGTTCCTCTTATCATGACAAGTTTTAATGTTACTAAGAAGGAAGACAAAGGGTTTGAGCTTTGTTTACTACTTTGCTGGTCTTTATTACAATTTTTATGAAATTAATATTTTATTTTCTTTTGTACATGTTCAAGGTCACACATCAACTACCGATAAAGTCAAATTATATATTAGTGGATGCAAATCTCATCTTACAAACAGGTTTTGTAGGTTGAGTTAGGCTTAAAATCATTTTCTAATAAAACTTATCTTAGCAAGATCTATGTGGGCATTTTGTTTCATCCGTTGTCGGGCCACTATCGGACCACCCATTAATTCTACTCTTAAGCTCGAGATGTTTATATCTCGACGTGAAGGGGGTGTGTGCAAACCTCACTTTACAAGCCGGTTTTGTGTGATAGTACATGTTTAGAATAGCAAAAGACTTTAATACTTCATTAAAGTTCTGCAGTTTTTACTAAGAGTATTCAAAATACACATGTGTTGTGACTTTATTTGTAAAATAATTTATTCACAATTATTTTTTAGATGTCTAAGCACAAGGAACATGTCTATGAAGCTTCATATAAGGAGTTCGAGCAAAAAGTATTACTCACTAGAAAACATTTTTATATTTATTCTTACACTTAAATCAAATTCTAAAATTCTTATTGATGTAGATTTTTATATGTCTAGACAAACCTACCTCGCAAAAGCACCACTAAGATTTTGTCACACATCTTGCAAATCTGAAATCTGAATCCAATAAGAATATTTTGCGTCCATTATGGAGTTCCGATAAAGCTATCCACGATCTCACTCATTTATCCCTACAAATAAATCAAAGCATCTTAGATGACACACAAGAATGGATCTAAACTCCATGAACTCTATTCAAAACCAAATTCATCAAGAACTCGACCAGAACAAGAAAAGCATGAGATAACACCAGATTGACTTACAAATTATGTGAGAACAAACTGAGGTAATGTTGAGAACTCAAATTGAAACTCTAACTCAATAGTTGAAGCAACAACATGAAGCCAATCTAGAGGCACTAAAGGCCAAGCTAGACAACCTGGAAGGAGAAATATCATTACGACATATCCACTCCCGAGGATATTCTCTGATAATTCAAAACATATCACTTCTCGGCAAGTGAAAGGCAGTCAACCTCGAAAAGAAAATGCCATCTCTCTAGGACACCTAATGATGGAAGACCATCAAAGAATCAAATTGGACCTCTTACTAGAGCCATGGCAAGAAAAATTCAAGAAGAAGAAGGATCACCTAACACTTTACTTCTATGGAAGGTTACTTATGAAAATCCTTCTTCTCTTGTCTAAAAACTAATAGTTGTAAATGATGTTTTTGTAGGATACAATAAAGGCAAGAACCATGGCCAACCAATCAGATTTGGTAAAAGCATTATTCAAGGAATCAGCACCAGGGCCGCTCCAACGCACTCAGATAGGGGGGTGCCCAGTGCAGATGCACCAAATAGACTTCCCAGCTCACGTGTGCCCAGGCGCCTTCAGGAGAGGGGCGCTCCAACACCAGTGGAGCTGCATGAAGCACGTTTTGGCAACATTGTCCATGTAACCCAGCATGCTTCCCGTGACCTAGCTAGCTTAGCCTCCAATCTCGTTTCTTATTTTGAATTTTGGAGGGAAATTAGATCATAATTGAGGCCTCTCTTCACCTATAAATAAGAGGGCCTCCCCTTTGTAATTGGCACTTTTAAGCTTAGTGATATGCTGCTGAATTCATTTCCCAGCCCTATTGCTCTTGAGTCACTCTTGATTTTCAACTTCTCCACCCTTCCTCTAGCTTCCTTCCTCTATAGGAAGGCCCTCTGAGCTGTGAGGCTTCACCCACACACTTTTCTGCAACTTAAACACTTCAAACACTTCATTATCTTCCATTTTCAGCTGCACTTATTTCCATGGTTGTTCTACTCTGGTTTGGAGCTCCTTCTTGCGTGAATCCAGCTGGAAGTAGTGTCCATCACCTAATGAGGATCGAAGGAAGTCTCAACGTTTTTCCTAGAGCCCCACCCGTATCGTCGCCATTCAAGATGTTAGGATTGATGAACTTTTGTTTCTCAACACCAAGAGGGGGGTGAATTAGTGTTTTATAAAAAAATAACACTTTTGAAATATTTTTCGCAAATGGTATGGTTCTTTAAACCTTTCTTGTGTCGTAAGGAATGGTGTGCTATGAAAATAGTATGTGTGTAAAACAGTTACAGAATGTATGCACAAATGTAAAGAGATATGGAGAAGAAAATCAAACTCAATTTTTATACTGGTTCGGCCTCAATGCCTACATCCAGTCACCCTCCCAATCAACCTTAGATCGAAGAGTAATTCACTATAATGATCAGAGTATTACAACCAATGCTTTACATAGCAACTCTCAAATGTAAACACCTCACAAACTCTCAATCAAATATAGAACAACAAAATCTTCAAACATAGAACTATCTCGTTCTTGTCGCAGCAACCCCTTTGAGATAGCCCCTCTTAAAGTCAAGAGTACACAACTCTTCTTCCTGACGCCACACGTACAGGGAACAACAAATAAAAGATTGCAAGTCTTCTTCTCCTAATCAGACATAATGCACCTTCAGTTGTGCAGAAACGATCAACCTCTTTAGTCCAGTCACGTTTGCTTCTCAAGAATTCTTCAAGATCTGTAAACCACTTCTCATTTTTTATTCTTGGAGCCTTGATCAATCTATAAAACTTCTCAGATGAAAATCAATCAGATATGAAAGTGTAATTCTCAATTGTTCTACAGAAAATCAAACAATGCGTCAATATATAACTTTTGTCAATTCTAACGCAAAACAATCGATTACTACGGATTTGAGGGAATTTGAGGGTAAATTTTTTGTTGTTTGTTTGAGTGGATTTGGAGGTAATTGAGAGTGGATTTGGAAGTAAAGTTTTTGAGAATTAGTGTAGGATTTGATTGATGTGACAGATTTAAAAATTTGTTTAATTGGTAAAAATTAAAGATTACCAAAATACCTCTAGTTATTAAAGTAATATAAAATGTTATTTGTTAATGTTATATTTAATTGTAAAATTTTTTATAAAGAGTAAAAAATTAAAAATATTAATTAAAATTAATTTTTAAAAGTAACAAAATTATAATTTAGTAAAATGAATTTATTTTTAAATGTAGTATTTGTTTGTAATATAATTTTATACCAAGTAGTATGAATTTATTTGTTATGGAAGTGAGATTGATTAATTTTGAAGAAACTAATTAAACGATAAATACAAGTATGAAAACTAATGTCAAACATAATAATATTCAAAAATAGGTAATGTAAGTTATCAAACACATAAGTCAATATAAGCAAAAAAGTCGTCTAATACATTCACGGAATAGTAAGCAACTTAATCATCTAAATGATGAAGAATTAAGTTAACATTCTGATTCAGGTGAGCAAATTGTTGGTTCATGTGGAGGGATAGGTTTGTCAAGTTATCTTCAATACGCTGAACCCGCACCTGCATTTAAGCATATGTTTCATGATGTGATGAGGCCAATTTAAAGAAGGTTTATCTAGATGAAACGCACACCTATATATCACAGAGACGTAAAACATAAAAAAAACATTCAAGCAAATTTAAAGAAGGAATGCAAATGTAAATGAAAGATGCTAGACGGTCCTAAGTGAAAGTGCAAGTGACACTTTGAGCCCCTTGACACAATTTCACACTAAGAAGTGGAAACTAAGCTATCACAATGTTCAATGGTGCACTTGGAATTGCTTGAAAAGCATTTTTCCAAGACACTTAAGTTGCAAATGAAAAAGCAAATTAAACCTCAAAGGTTCCGTGATATAATGAATGAAAAACACTTGAAACTATGCCTAATACAAGTGAAAAGGTGAAACCGCAATGGCTGTAATTGGTGCAGATCCAAACTGATTGGAAAAAGATGTGGTGCTGGTCGAAGAAGTGTTGCTGCATCAGGAAGCAAAAGACAGCTTGGAGATCAACTCTTGAAGCCCATTCAACAATTTTTCCACTTCCTAGTATGTTACCCTGTTGGAGAAGGGTTCTTGTAGCTAGGAGACTTCAAGAAATGTCACAACAGCAATGCACAAAACCAAACTAGTTACACCAAAATTGTTACTGCACCAGTTTTTTTCAGTCAAAACAAATTGGAATGCACAAATAGAAGTCAAATAAGTTAAATTCAAGTGAGTTTGAGCGTTGAATTAAAGGAGGGACACAAAAGGAACCTAGGAAAGGCACTAGAACATATTAAACAATCAAGAAAATAAAAAATGCAGGTCAAATTCGAAGTGCAGTAAAGTGTTTGATAAAAATTGCAAAGTGTTTGATGAAAGTCCCCAAAGAAGTGCAGAATTTTGGATTTTCGGTTTTTGGGGTCAAAACTGGATTGCTTGGTTTTCTTTTGCTTTTTACGAATGTTTTATATTGTTTTGATCATATCATTCCATTTGGAAACATGAAACCAACTCTTGCCAATCCAGAAT